TTTAGTTGTTTGTTCACAATACATTGACAATTGTTTGTTATTCATTTTTAATCTGTTACATTAGGAACATTTGATAGCATTTATTGCAGTCAACTGATTTCTGTGCCTTCTCCTCATTTGCACCTGTTACTTCTTACATTCAAAAAGGTACATATGTTTGAGAGAGTCATTTAAACATTAATTTCTCAACATTTTGTCATTTCCTATATATCTACTTCTGTCTTCCACAAAATCATTTTTCTTTCATATGTGTGTGCTAAGCAATGCTTCCACCCCATCAAATATACGCAATGTCATCCCAGGTGAAAAATAAATATATTTAAATTGTGCTTTTTCAGACATACTTACTATATTTAAATTATACTATACTAAGTGCATATTAAATGTATTAGTTTGAAACAACTTTAAATATATTAAGTGTATTTCAAGATATGTTTAAGTTTGATTTTAATCTATTTGTAATATATTTAATATATTGAAATTGTGTTAAATTGGAACCACTTTAAGTATATTTAGTGCAATTTAAGTGTATTTCTTAAAATACATTTAAAATGTCCTTTTAATACTTCATGAACTACAGTTAAGAGTATATTTGAAGCATCGTTTTAATGTACTTCAAGTACAATTCAATTGTATTTCAGCTCATTGGAAATGCATTAGCATTACACTACTAGTATATTATAAAGCTGCTTTTTTCAGTATGTAAACACACTAGGGCTGGGTATCGATTCAGATGTCCCGATTCGATTCGATTTCGATTCGCAAGCTCTCGATTCGATTCGATTCTCGATTTTTTGATTACATTCAGTGAATATGGTTTTAATACAAATGCTATTGATATTTCTAAAAAAATTAACAGTAAACATCAGTTTACAAATGGTGAATTAATAAAAAGAAATTAAAAACCACATGCCTGTATTTTAAACCTATACTTTTTTTTGTATGGGTCATTTTTAAAAAAAATAATAGGGCCCTATAAAATGTTCTTAATTTTTCTGGTTAAACAAAGTGGTTTACTGTTAAAATTAAAAAGAAAACAGATGTGATTATTCCTTTAAAAATAAAGATGTATTAATATTTATTAGCAGTAGTAGCATTGGTTCTTAAGACTGCTAAATAGTAATATATTCTGACAGTTTAACGTTAAACTAAACATTTATTTTGATGGGTTGCCGTGAAGAGCTTGCAGCTTCTCAAACGAAATGGTAAAATGCTAATGAAGTGACTCTCAGAGTAGCTGGAGATGACATTCGTGTTCATATCATCATATAGTTAGACGGCAGAAGCTGAAAACACGCCCTTTAGTGTATGTAGTGTGCACAAAACAGTGCGCCACGCCATCAGCCATTTATTGCGGAAATCATGGCGCCTTATGCGTGACATCAAATTCTTCCGCAGATTTACAGTGGGTACGGAAAGTATTCAGACCCCCTTAAATTTTTCACTCTTTGTTATATTGCAGCCATTTGCTAAAATCATTTAAGTTAATTTTTTTTCCTCATTAATGTACACACAGCACCCCATATTGACAGAAAAACACAGAATTGTTGACATTTTTGCAGATTTATTAAAAAAGAAAAACTGAAATATCACATGGTCCTAAGTATTCAGACCCTTTGCTCAGTATTTAGTAGAAGCACACTTATACTTTCCGTACCCACTGTATAGTATTACTATAGCATTTCACCTGAGCATTGCCATGATAAGCGCTGAATGAATGACAGGATTTCTGTTGTAATATCGTGCAAGGTAAATAAGGGTAACATCTAGTGGAGAAGACTAATGATAAGATTCACGTTAATCAGATCTTGTTTTTAAATGTGTGCTGAAATAAATCCCGGAAAAGATCGATTCGCGGCTTTTGAGAATCGATATCAAATCGACATCATTAAAAAAAAACGATTAATCAAAAACAATTTTTTTTTTTTGCCCAGTCCTAAAACACACGTACACACTTTGATATTTAGAAAACTTTATATATTGTTGTGTACATTACAAATATTCATAAAGTACACTAAAAAAGGACAGCAGCATATACTTTGGTGAAAAACAAAACAAAACATACTATTAAATGTATTCAAAATGCACTTGAAATACAAGTATGGTTATAGTATTTGTATTACTACAAACATACTCAAGTACATTTTAATACATTATAAAAAAACATAAATAAAAGAAGACTGAAATGCTATGGCAGAGCTATCTTTTCCATTTGTAGAACATTTCAGTTATACCGGCCTTACTAAAAAGTACAGAGATATTTTAATAAAAATCTGAGAGATATATATACTATTTTATATACGAAGGTCTCTGGGTGAGCTCATTATCATACGAACCAATCAGAGCCGTTCAATGGCTCTGGAACCAATCAGGTTTAATCAGTGTGTTGTTTGAATTTAAACACAAGTAAACGCAAGTTTTTTTGTTTTTTCATATATGATGTTGAAATCCTTGTGGGAATTTCAGAAATATATATTAGAAAATAAAGGCGTCAAGCTTGAACAAATTTATAAACACCTAGCTTATTACAATTACTGTATCATGTAATGAACAACAGCCTAATCAACCAAAGTAGCATAACCTTTTAAGTAAAACTGAACAACATATTAAACAACATATTTTAAATATCGCAATGCTTAATAATAGTTGACAAATGTTTGTAGATTGTAAATGTTAAAAATGTTTTTCAAAATATTGTACTTTTCCAAATATTAAAATTATAAATACATACATATTTAAAATA